AAATGAATGATGTAATGCATTCGACTATTTCTACCACAACACCATGGTTACAGTTAGCGTTACCGCTTCCAGTTTCCTGAGGTATGTCAGCGCGGTTTATAACAGAGAATTCTGTGCAGAATTTGAATGATTCTCACTAGATCTCGCAGCAACCTTATCATTGTGCGGCGAATTCAAACGCTTCTCACTGGATCTCACAGAACTGTTGCATTTGTGCAGTAACAGTGTCGCGAAATCAACCCAATTAAAGCTGTTCTGAGCTCGGACAAGTTTGTTTGCGTCGCGGTACACACTCTGGCGTAGTTTACGTTAATGGGTGTGTTGATATCCAGCCGAAGAGCAATCAACCATAACTTCAGGCGAGCAGGATCTTGGATGCCCTGGGGGTAAGCAGATAAACATCACATTTTCATTTTTGGGTGAACTATCCCTTTAATGTTGTGTCAGATGAGGCTCACGCAGCCTGAAGCCTGTGTTAAGTGAGTGCGAGAGAGATATGGAAAGATGGAGTTTGTTGATACTGATTTCATTTGAATGATAACAACTCTACAGTTTATTATTCTAAATGAATTAATTGAAACAATGTAAGAAACTGATGTGAAAGATGACACATTTAATAAGATTAGTGGAAAAAAAAACATCTGTTTTGTTATACAGCAACTCATTTTCAGGTAATTGTTATTTCGACCTCTTTCCAGTCACAGAGCACTTTATCAATGTTGTTTAAGTGAGAGCATTTTTTTTTTTGCATTGAAAAAAAAAAACAGTATAGATTTTTGTTTGTACATGTTGTAAATTATAGTTCTTAGAAAGAGAATCGGTATCGGCAGGTTACACTAACAAAAAAATTGAAAATCGGAATCGGCCGAGAAAATTGCAATCGGTGCATCTCTAATATATATATTTATAATGCTATATAAATATATTTTTTATAATTCTAATATCATAATATAATATAAATAATAATATATATTATAATTTTAAATATAATAAATATTTTTTACAAAAGGATCGTTTATAAAGTTATGATCATTTGAAGTCCCATTTTAAGGGTTAACCACAAGCCTCACACCATGACAGCCTCTAAGGATTGCATCATATGACCACGTATGATCTGACTAGGCCCTGGACGCCCTGTTACCTAGCAACAACACAACATGCTCTTATGGTGAGATCACTGAAGTTCTCTCTCATTCATGAGGAAACTCAGTGTCTGTGAAATTGGTAGGTGTTAGAATGGCAATAGGCAGATCCTTTTATGAGAACGATGCGTCACTTTCAGTGGGTGACCACTCAAAATATTTCCCACCATTGTGACCTATTCAGTACTGGTGAATATGATCACAGCTTAATTTTTCATTTTCAATTTGTGTTTCACAAGTGTACTTTGTGATTATAATCCTGTCCAAATGTGTTTTTCCTCACACAACCTCAGTAAAATCTGAAGCAAATTAGAGATGTTTTTAGGCTTACTGCAGAGAGTCCAGTCACATCCAAAACAGTGCACAATACAACAGACGTTCATATTATTAACTGTAGTATTCAATTCAGAAAACAATTCACTTCAAATCACAACAATCTATTTTCAGTATAAGCATACTGTGTGTGTGTGTGTGTGCAAATGTGTTTTTCCTCACACAACCTCAGTAAAATCTGAAGCAAATTAGAGATGTTTTTAGGCTTACTGCAGAGAGTCCAGTCACATCCAAAACAGTGCACAATACAACAGACGTTCATATTATTAACTGTAGTATTCAATTCAGAAAACAATTCACTTCAAATCACAACAATCTATTTTCAGTATAAGCATACTGTGTGTGTGTGTGTGTGTGTGATTTTGATCTAATTATGTTTCACTTCCTCAGTTTCAGTGAAGCATTGCATTTTCAGAACACATTTCACATCTCAGCATCCACAGCACTAACTGACTATTAAGTGGTTGATATTATAGCCAGTGATTTGTAACTAATGTTTAAATACGGTTTTGAAATAAACAGCTTTTCATGTGTCACTCCTTGAAAAAATGTGTGCAATACTAATTTCTGAAATAAAGGTTGTGATGAAAATGTGTGTTCACCTGTTCATGGAGGCCCAGGAGTTGGCTGTAACGTACTCGACAATGCAAGACACCATTCACATGGATATTGTAAGCCTGCAGAGGGAAAAACAGTTATACATTATAAAAATAAACTCTGAATAGTTTGGAGTAAGATTTATTTATTTTATTATTATTAGTTTTCTTTTTTTTTTTTTTAAATACGTCAAATACTTGTGTTAACCAAGGATGCATTTATTTGATTAAAAATATAGTAAAAATTTCAATATTATGAAATATTATTACAATTTAAAATAGCTGTTTTCTATTTGAATACATATCAAAACATAATTTATTAATCCTGTGTTGCCAAAGCTGAATTGTCAGCAGGCATTACTCCAATCTTCAATGTCACATGATCCTTCAGAAATCATTCTAATATGCTGATATGATACTCAAGAAAAAAATATTTATTATATAATAATTTCTCATATAAATTATTATAAATTTTGAAAGCAGTTGTGCATCTTAATATTTTTTGTGGAAACCATGATACATTTTTTTTCAAGCTTCTTTGATGAATAGAAAGTTCAAAGAAACAGCAATTATTTGAAACAGATTTTATTTTTTAATTCAAAATGTCTTACGGTCACTTTTGATGAGTTTAATGCATCTTTACTGAATGAAAGTATTAATTTCCTCTTTTTCAATGGTAGTGTACATAAAATAAAATAAACACTATATTCCTAAGTAATTTGAAAGGCCAATTAATAACCAGACACTGATTTTACTAATAGAAACAAAACCATATGCATTATAAAAAAATAAAAAAGAAAAAAACAAAGAAAGAAAGAAAAAAAAACAATGAACAAAATCACTCTTTTTTAATTTGAAAGGCCAATTAATAACCAGACACTGATTTTACTAATAGAAACAAAAGCATATGCATTATAAAAAAATAAAAAAGAAAAAAAAAAAATTAAGAAAATCATTCTTTTCTTTTTTAACACAAAAATCAAGTTATTACATGGGAACAGGCTAATGATTTTAAAGTGAAACATTTTGACACTAAAATCAAAGACTGTGTCAATTGTGTACAATTGTGTCAGTTGTGTCTTCTTCTTATTTTAGCCATACCACAAAAGAACAAGACGTTTCTAAAGTGGTTATCCCTTACTGAGCCTGGAAACCAAGGCCATTCAGTTCACCATTTTCTTTTTCTCCCCAGAAGCTTTCCAGCTGTTGCTAATATTGCATCCATGCCAACAAATACAACCAGGAAGGCACAATAATCATATTTCGATATGCATGGATTCTTGCCACCATTTTTTGTCAAAGAAAAGTAAGCTCACGGTTTTGGTTTTGAGGAACACCTTTTTGCACTATTGTCTGACTTCCTGATTTGTTGTTGTTTTGACTACTCATCATTTTGCACATGTTGAAAAGTAAGTGAGATACTGGACTATTACTTAAATTACAGAAAACAAGCAATGCTTAAACTAGACACAGATCAAAATGTGTCTAGGGGACTTTGATTTCAGAATGGAGAAACCAAATATGAAGGGTGCGGTTTCAGAAACACAGGAAAAACATTTCTTAAGGCATTCTTGTGGGTCGTGGGGCGTTTAAAATCTGCAATCAAATCGAGTAATTCACATAAAATACTGAGCAGTTCTGACCCTAAAATGTTTTTTCTTTTTTTGACTTTGTTTCAGGAGGTCGTTGTGTAATGTTCTCCATCTTACTGTGGATACTATAAGAAGGTTTCACAAGACCTCACTGAATTCACATGCATTCAATGCTATTAAAAAGACTGCAAATATGTACAGCATGCAATGACCCAATTATTGACAGCACGGCATGCAACCGCCGCTACACAGCTAATACATGAGTCATCAAAGCTAGAACAAGTCTACTGACAGAGGCAGGATGAAACTGCCATGCCTTTACTTGTCGTGAAATATAAAAAAAAAGGAAGAATGAGTATGCAAGTCTTCAGGAAATGCAATACTTCTTTTACCATTTAAATCGCAGCCCACTCATTTTTGTGGCTCTTTGGCAAAGTATGCATATTTGGTGACATGAACGGTTCCCAAAGCATATATGCAACTCCCAGCCGAATATAGTGTAAGACAAATTTAGAATAAGACGAATATAGAGTAAAACAACATTGTGCTTTAGATGTCTGAAGAAAACCACCTACAATTGAGAGTGAATGCAGAGAGGAACAAAGCGCTCTATCTCAGGTTTTTAAAGCAGTTTTATGTTTTTGAATGTCTCTTCTGCTAACAAAGGCGGCATTTATTTGATTAAAAATACAATACAAAAGTGTGAAATAATATTATAATTTAAAATAACTGTTTTCTATTTGAATATATTGTCAAATGTAATTTATTTCTGTGATGCAAAGCTGAATTCTTAGCATCATTACTCAAGTCTTCAGTTGTGCTGCTTCATATTTTTGTGGACACCGTGATACATTTTATTTTTCTGGATTCCTTGATGAATAGAAATTTCAAAAGAACAGCATTTGTCTGAATATATTTAATATATGTTTTGTAACATTATAAATGTCTTTACTGTCACTTTTGATCGATTTAATGCATTCTTGATGAATTAAAGAACTACTTCATGTTTTTCTAACTCCAAACTTGTGAATGTCGGTGTATCATGGTTTCCACAAAATATGAAGCAGCACAACTGATTTCAACATTAACAATAATCAGAAATGTTTCTTGATCAGCAAATCAGCATATTAGACTGATTTCTGAAGGATCATGTGACACTGAAGACTGGAGTAATGATGGTGAAAATTCACCTTTGCATCACAAAAATAAATTACATTTTAAAATATGTTCACACAGAAAACAGTTATTTGAAATAATATTTCACAATGCTTACTGTTTTTTTTTTTTTTTTGATCAAGTAAATACCTTGCTGAACAGAAGAGACATTCAAAAGTCAAACAAAAAAATCTTCCCAATCCCCCTCTTGACCAGTAACCGGGTGAACCTGTTCATGCAAAATCTGTTTAAATTATGCAAAACAATAAATATCTTATGAACAAAAGTGAAGCAAAAATATAAAAGCAGTAAAAAGTCAGTGTGATTCATACATCTGACCAATTTATATCTTAGTGGCCTTGAGAGACTTATCTATTGAGAACGTCACTGACGATCTGTGATGGAGAAATTCTCTTTGAATCACAGTCACAGATGGACACAAACAATGTGGAGCTCATAAATAATCTCAGCCCTTATTCAAATCATTTGGTGGCTAAGGAGAGTCAACACCACAGGCTGCACATCTGCAGACACCTACGAGAAAGGATTCAGGCAAAATATGCTTTGTAATCAATCCACAGTTCATTGCAATACAGACGTAACCTCAGGAGACAAACTGAAGCTGTCTGTTATTGATAGGCTCTACTCGCTGTTTCATAGACAAATGAAGTGCCATGTCTTCATAGTGAGCCAGCTTTGTTTCCAGTTAGGCTGGATAACTGTTATGCTGAAAGAAATGGCAATCTTGCACTGCATATGGCTGCGGGAGAGATGCCAGAAGAACTGAGGCACTGTGAATCTAATTCACACAACAACAACTCTAGAAGATGCTAGCTGGAGTTTATGAACATCCATTAGCAAAGCTTCCTGATCTGATTCCACCTTCAGTCATTTTTGTTGTCTTTTAATAAGCTGTAAAGGGACGCACATAAAATCTTGCAATTTTAAAGACTGAAATTAAATCAAATAAATAAACTGAAATGTAAGATTGAAATTAAAATGACTAATTATGTACATATTTTTAAGAAATATTAGCCATACTCTTACAATAGATGTATGAATATTCATATCTATTCCATATTCATATTTAGTAGTTAGGTTTTAGTTTTTTGAATCCGTTCACTATTCATTCAACTTTGTTTACTGAATCGTTATTCTTATCCTGCCAGATTGCGTTGAGGGTAATGAGTGAATCATTAAATCACTCACTCAACCAATTTGTTTATTAAAAACCTAGTATTTCAAGATTAAAACGAGTCTTCAGTCATTCTTGAGACATGGGACAAAACAGGTCCAGCAAAAGTTGGGAGGTTGTATCAAAGCATAGCTCAGTAGCTTAGTACATATAATATACATAAATGTAGTTTCATTTGTCGGAGTACAAGGTTTTATTTTTTCAATTTTGCACCGTTTTGTCCCACTTCTCAAGAATGAAACTGGATTTCTACAAATCTAGTAAGAGACTCCAGAAAGAGTGTTTTTAAGTATTATAAGCATTTGACCCTCAAATGGAAACGAAGTACATCTATAATTTACCTCCATTTTGTCAACTGTGAAGGATTTTAAAAGACAGCCAATAGCCCAAATGAACTAAGAAATGACGTCCATCTGTCATTTTAATATATTCAGAATTCTTCCGCATCTTTCTCTTCTTGTTGTGAACGAGACTGTGACTCATATGACGATCTGGATGAACGGACATGTTCCCTCAAATTCCGTCAATCAGCGAAAGATTCATTCACAACAGCGATGCAAAGCACCGCTATTCTACAGGCAGCGTCTCCGAATGTAAAAGCTAGGCGCATCGCTTATTTGACCTCCACCACACTTACCACATAAGTCGATCCATTTTCATCGGAGCGAACCTCCGTCTCGGGGATGGAGAAATGCATTTTCTACTGTAAGATCACAAGTCTTTGACCGAGATGAAGATGCTGTTAAAAGCGAGAGTGTTCACGGAAAGCCCTCGGTGTTGGTCTGCTGGGACCAAACTGAATGACGGCGAGCTACACTCGCTCCGATTCCCTGTGTAGTCCTGTCCAGTCCAGTCCAGTCCAATCCAGAGCTGAATTACGCCAGGAAAGTTCTTTTCTTGCCACGTGGATTATTTTAAAAACTTTCTTAATGTTCAGGGCTGAACTTTTCCAATAAACATCTAAGCAGCAGCCATGTTGCAACTGGAGGTAATTCCACGTTCATTGTCGGCAGTGTATCGCTAAATCGGTCCTCTCGCTTCCTCGCGCACTGTAAAAGAATGTGGGAGTCGAGTCTGCAAAACACAAAGTGTCGTCGCAAGGCCCACGATCCAATTAACTTTCAGATTACTCCACGTAAAGGTGCTCCGCGGCTGTCTACAGCCCCCGGTCCTACCTACATTGGTACATACGAACGAGTATGGAGAGGAAACAAATGAAGAAACTGTTTGTCGCAGCATGCATTTCGAGATACCGATACTGTGCTCCAACTTGTTAAGGCGTTAAGAAGAACACACATCCGTCTGCATTGTAGCGAAACCTTCCAGCACTATAGATGAAGCCTCTCTGCTGTAATGTATTCAATATGTATCTGCGCACTCCCGAAGCGTTGCAGCAGTCTGGATCAAACCATTCCTCCAGAGCGGCGGGGGGGGTATGCGTAAAAATGTTCATTCGAGATCCTTTGGCATGAACAAGTCGCAAGCGTAGTTTGTAGTAAACAATCTCTCCATAACGACATAAACTTATTTTTATGTAAATGTTTAAACTGAAGTTTAAGATTTAAACGGGCTTAAAAATGGCTGTGTGATACAAGCAATGCGGTTAAGCTGCATCAAAGAGTATTTAAATATTAGCTAAATCGTTTCTCAAAAGAGCAGGTTAAACCATCTTTGTGATTTGAGGTATTTAACGCCCCCTGTCTTTTTTTCTCTCAGCAAAATGAAAGGAGGTGCTTAACTTTTAGCAAAAGTTTACTTAAGGAGGTAAAACTTTTAAAAAAGATATTTTCTATTAATTTTTTGATGCCCTGTTATGTCTAATACGTTTTTGCAACTTCATAGCAATAAACATGACACAAAAAATTATTAGACAAAAGTTATCAAAATTATTAATCAAAAAGCACCAAAATGGGCAATAGGGTTCAACTTAAAAGTCCCATATCTGAAAGATATTTATTTATTTATTTATTACAGTAACTTTGGTAACAGCTGAATTGTTTATCTTGACAAATGCACTCAAAACTAATTTGTCTAAAATTGGCACATGGAATGAGAATATTTTTTTTCAATTTAATTATTTAAGTTAATTTCCTTATTTTATTTTATTTTTGTTACTTTTTTACTTT